CCTTGCAGCGCTTGAGCTCGCGCCCGCCGGCCGCGCATTCCTCCTTCAGCCGCTGCACGCGCTCCTGGTGCTTGCGCAGCAGGCTGTCCTTAACGTGCAGCTCCTTGATGACGTCGTCCTTGGAGCTCAGCATCGCCGTCAGGTCCTGCACCTTCTTTTGCAGCTTCAGCACCTCGCTCATCAGCAGCTGCGTCAGGCCCGACTCCCCCGATGCGTCTGCGGCCGCGGGGTGGCAGGTGAAGGCCGGGCCGAGGTCCTGGGCCTCGTGCGCCCCTCCCACTTCCCTCGAGGCCCTCGCCCGCCTCCTGGTCTGTGCCAGGGGCTGGTCCTGGACAGTGGAGGTTGCCCCCCGGGAGACCGACCGGAGATGATGCCGTGGCGGCCGCCCGTTTGCTCTCTGTCCCCAACAAGGCGCATTGGGCTGCCCCCCAGGCGTCCTTCACCCTGCCCGCCTTGGCCTCACCGATGATCATGGAGAAGACGCGGGCTGGCTCCTTGCCGGTGATTTTCTTGTACAGCTGCGGGTAATACAGTTCCAGGCTCTCCAGGAAAGCCACGTAGCCCTTGTGGCCCGTCCGCTGCAGGATGTCCAGGAGCACACCTGCAGCCAGGGCAGCGGGGTGAGGGGCGCCCACGGGAGCAGGGGCAGGCGGGGGCCTGGTGAGGCACCCCTGTATCACGGGCAGGGGGAGACTGCAGATGGGACCAGGTCTGGGGCACAGGATCCCCTAGGCAGGGTGGTGGGCGGGAGGGAGGCAGCACCCGGGCAGAGGGAGGCTTCAGGTGGGACGAGGTCTGGGCGGGCAGGGGAAGGCTGTAGATGAGACAAGGTCTGGGGCACAGGCCCCCCAGTGGGGTGGGGGGTGGGCAGGGGCCGCACTGACCCACTTTACGCTTGCGGATGACCAGGTTGGGGTCACTGAGCACCTGCTCTTCATCGTCGGGGTTGAGGACCTTGCACTGGCGCAGGTAGGGCGTGATGCGGGAGGGGTCGATGACCGAGATCAGCTTCACCCGGAAGCCCTCGAGGGCATTCCAGCACTCGTCCTCATTCTCGTAGTCGGACATGGCAGGGGGACGCAAGGCCACAGAGGGTGGCGGCCACGGGTGGGTGGACACGCAGCCTGCAGGGGCAGCGGGCTTCAGCCTCACCCCTGCCTCCCTGTCCATCAGCCAGGCTGCCCCGTCACCCCGTGGAGACTCCCAGGGATAGGTGGGCACCCCCAGTGTCTGCTCCCATGGAAGTCCTGCCAGCCAGACCGACCTTACCGAGCAGTGGTGGGCTGGTGGGAAGTTGGGTGCAGTTTGGAATGGGGCCCTCCCACCTTCAGAGCCCTGTGGGAGCCTGGCTGCGTGGGACTTCCTCATTTTCCAGAGTGACAAGGGACTGTGTCACGCCAGCCTCTGCCCTGGCCCTGTGCTCCCACCATCGGCTACTGGGTGGTGATGCAACAGGGCCGTGAGGCGGGAAGGGGTTCAGCCAGGTGTCTGCCTAGTGCTGGCACACAGGGAGGGGCTGTGAGTGCACCCCAGATGGCCCACAGTGCTTTTTCGCAGGGCCCCACTGTCACCAGGTTCTCCTCCCAGTGGGCTCTAGCTCAGGGGGCAGGGCAGGGACTGTCCCTATTGTAGCCCTTCCACCTGCACAGATGGAACCTCGTAAGTCAGGCCCAGTCTCCTGGGAGCAGTCTGTGGTTGTGTCTCCCCTAGCCTCAGAGACAGAACCCCTGGGCCTGGGGACAGAGCCCTCAGCCTCAGGGACAGGGCGCCTGGGCCTGGGGACAAAACCCTTGGGCATAAGGACAGAGCTCCCGGGTGTGGAGACAGAGCCTCTGGCCTCACGCAAAACCCCTGGATGGGGGACAGAGCTGTTGGGTGTGGGGACACAAGTCCTGGGTATAGGGACGGAGCCCCCTGGCCTCAGCTTCCGGACCTGTCGAGACCAGCTCCCAGGGCCGGGTCTGGGGATCTGGTAGGAGCTCAGCGTGCTGGCGTCGTCCCCAGGGTGCTTCTGGCCTTTCTAGCTGGTTTGCTGGGCTCCCTGAATCCCTTGGCCTGGTGGCTGAGATGCCCAGGTGCTCACCAGTGGCTGGGGGGGCGAGGGCAGAGAGAGGGGTGCTGGCCTGTCCGAGGGACGTTCAAGGAACTTCTGCAGCTGCAGGTATTTGCTGCCCCCGACCACCCAGCAGAGCCACGGGGAACTTGCCAGCACCTCTGGGAAGGGCACCAGGCACCTACCTTGGGTCCTCTCGTGCTGGAGCTGCCTGCCGGCCAAGCCAATCTGGTGCCCAGGGAGGGTGGAGTGGAGGCCCCTGGTACTTCCTTGTGGGCTCTGCTCTTCAAGGGGGACACAGCCTGCCCTGACTCGCCCAGCAGGGGAAGTGGGAGTGCTAGGGAGTGCTGAGAGGAAGGTGCAGGAACCTCCTGCCTGCCCCTCCCCGGAGCAAGTCTCGGTTCTGGCAGCGACGCCTGGCGGTGGAGCCCAGAGCAAGTTCCTCCCAGTTGGACGAGGTCATGCCACTGGCCAGCTGCCTCATCCCAGACACAGGCTTTCTCAGCAGGGATGCTATCTCGGGGACCAGCAGCACAGAGCTGGGGGCCAGGGGCCAGGGTGTGGGCAAGGAGGCTCTGCTAGGGACAAGACCTACACCATGGGGTCCAGAGTAGGCAGCACCTTGACACTCCACAGCCACCTCATCGCTAGGCAGCCTCACCTGGTGACTCCATCCCTGCGCCCACACGTGGGCAACGATGGAGGCCCCGGGATTCCCAGGCCATGGCCACCGCCCCACGAACGAGTTTCAGAAGGGCTGTTGGCAGCAAGGTGGATTCGGGGAACCCAAGACCAGCACCCCATCCAGTGTGTCCTGTGGATCCAGTCCTTGTGGGCTGGGCTGATGCAACAGCTGCTGAGAAGGGGCGGGCCTGGCATTGCAGCCGGAACCGGGAGCAGGTGCCTCTCACTCTGCCTTCCTGAGGTTCTGGGTTCTGCCCCTGGCCCTGCAGCTACCAGCTGAGGCTGAGCACCTGGAGTCATGGCACAGCCACGATTGAGGTTAACGAGGACAGCAGTGGCGTCTTTGTGTGCATGCACGCATGTGTGTGCAAACTAAATGCTGAACACCCCACGCTCTCTGGTCACAGCAGATTCAACCTGGGACTCAGCAAAGATGCCCAGAAACCTCCTGGATACTCAGGAACCTAAGAACCCAGACAGCAGAGCACAGCGCGAGGAGGGAAGGTGGGGACAGTGCACCGGGCGCAGTCATGTGCGCAGAGAACCTGCCGTGAGGACCAGCACACAGATACCACGTTGGGTGGGGGCGGCACCAGGGATGGGCGGTATGGTGAAGCCTGGGCGGAGGGCAGAAGGCTCCGCACCCCCAATTCCCCACTCCTGTGGGAAGTCTTCCAGGGCAACGTAGTCATTTTTAAAAATTCAAGAAGTGGCCAGGCCCCTCGTGGAGGAGCGAACAGCTGGAAGCTCATCACCAGACACGTCTTGGGGTGTGATGAAGGCAGCCGTGAGGCCAGGGTGGCTTTTCCACCCTGGGACCACCCGACATCCCTGAGGCCCAGGGACCAGAGCTAGGCTCTGAGGGGCACAGCCTGTCCCTGGCTTCCCCGAGAGCAGCAGACTGTGTGGCAAGTTATGATAAAAAAAATTAGACCATTTATTTATTCCTTCAAGTGCTCTTGGGGCAAACTAGCCCTCTTGTGTGGGACATGGGACTGCCCCGTGGATGAGAATGACACCTGCCCTCATGTGGGTGGGTGGGTGCCTCAGTTTACTCCGAGCTGTGGTGAAGGTTTCAGACCCGATGTGTCCTCCTGGAACGGGCACATCCTGTGGCAGGGTGTTCTGGGTTCTAGCACGTCACAGGTCCACCTGGAGATCCCAGACACACGGATGAGGGGCACTGGGACCATGGGCATACTCCTGCCTCGCCCTGGAGAGACCACGCAGGCAGCAGAGGATGGGAGGCCGCCCTCAGAGACGCTGACGGCACAGGGGCCTGGAGGGTGGGTGCGGGCCCCTCTCCAGGCCCCAGTACCATCTGCGGCAGCTGGTTTCCTCTGAATGGCCACTGACTGAACCTGGCCAGGGCGTGGCATGAGCCTGGGGCTGCCTGGGCGACTGGTGTGGGGATGGGACGCAGCGAAGAGCAAGAGGCCACTCAAAGGCTCCCACGCCATGGGGTCAAGGGGCAGACCCAGACACCAGGTCAGGAAGCAGGCTGAGAGAGGGACAGACAAATGGACAGGTATCTGCTGAGCAGAGGCCTATGAAGGGATGGAGTGGGACTCTCAGGCACAGTGGCGGGGAGCAGCGGTTGGGAAGTGGAGGGGGAACGGGGTGCTGGCAGGCTGAACACCCCCCCCCCAGGAGAGGCCCCCAAGGGAGCAGCAGGTTCTAGGAAGGCCTTGCTTCTGTCCCCACCCCACCACAGAGAGGGAGGTCCCTCTCCTGGAGGCAGCATCCTTGAGCTCACCTGCTCAGGACAGACGCCTCCGCTTCCGACTGTGACGAGTCCTGAGCCCACAGTCGTCCTGGGTGTCCAGGCAGCAGGGGGCCGAGGCCTGACCAAGACACAAGCCAGAGGGAAGGGTGAACCTCTGGCCCAGGTGGGGGTAGGATGGAGGGCCCTGGGCCACCCTCAGCCTCAGGTCGTAACAGCCCAGGCAGGCTCAGGTGGGCCACGAGGGCCTGGCTTCCTACTGCACCCCTGCGGTTCCCTAACAATCTGCTCTTGACACAACGTGCCTGCCTGCCACATCATCGTTTTGTCAGGGTTCCTAGTGGATGGGGGTCCGCTGCCCAGCCCTTTGGGGTAGCATTTCCCACCCAGCCTAGCCTAGGGGACCCTTGGTTCCTAAGGCGATGCTGGAGGTAGGGTGGGCGTGAGCCCCATGCCAGCAGTCCAGAGTCCAGACGAAGGGAGACATGGTACAAGCTCCCACTCCAACCACCGCAGGGTGCCTCAGGTTCTCTTCAGGGAGCAAGGGAACGGCTTTGCCTGAACAGCAGAACACTTGTGGTGACAGTGACCACAGACCCAAGCCACCTGGTGCCCACACAGTGCAGGTGCAGCTATACCCTCACCTTCACCTCCCGACTGGCTCTGCCCACATGGGACTGGGGCAAGCAGACCCCTCAAACATGGTGGTCTGACTGGGCATCAACGTTGAGGGCAGGGCTCCTTTCTGACTTCCCCACCAGAGTCCACCTGCAACTGGGAAGCCCACTAGCAGTTTCCTCTTCCCACCTAGGCCAGCCCTCTGAGGCCACGCTCCCCACCACTTCCACCCACCCAGCAGGTGGCTGGGCAGGGGCGTGTGCCTGCCCCACCTGTGCCTACTCAGGGGTGTACTGCTGAGGCCCTCACCTGTGGCTCTGCCGGGGGGCTGCTGGCCATGTGACCCACCCCGTCAGGGGACCCAGGCTCTCCCAGGAGCTCCTCACTGTCTCCCTCAGGGTCCAGCCCTGTGGCAGCTGACAGGGTGGTGAGGACACCGTGGGGGGGTAGGGTGGCTAGCATGGCGGGCAGGGAGAAGGCTGCCAGGAAGCGGGCCTTGAGCAGCAGGTAGGCCGAGTTGTCCCTGAGCCGCGTCCGCACCATCCCCAGCACGGCCTGCAGGGCTTCGGCCGGGGGCCCACTGTCACCGCCCACCGTGCCACCGGGCACGAGGGCAGCAGCCTTGCGCTCCAAAGCCGCCTTGTGGAGCAGGAGGTTGAACAGGCCTCTCAAGGTGCAGAGAGCAGGGGGCTGGTAGGGCAGCCTGCTCCCCAGGGGCGGCACGCACACCCCCCGCTGTCCCCGCAGCCAGGCGGCAGTGTCCTCTGAGCCCTCCGGGAAGAGAAGGCACATGTCCAGGGTACCCTTCTTGGAGCCAGGCTGGGGCGAGGGCAGCTTCTCCAGGGCCCCAGGGCCCCCTGTCCCTGAGGGCGACGCGGCTGACCCTCCTGGACCACTGCAGGAAGGCAGGCGTCCGGTCCAGGGCCGTTGTGCTTCAGGCTGGCAGGACAGCAGTGCGGCCTGGGAGAGCGCTTCAGGTGGGAGCGGGGGAGCAGCGGCCTCTGGAGCCCTCTGGGCTGCTTGTGGCGAAGGCAGCCCTCCCGGGCCAGAGGCCGAGTCCCCAGCTGCCTCTGCAGGACTGTGCTGGGGTGTAGGGGCTGTCCTGGGGGGTGAGGCCTGGGTGTACTCGTTGGCTTGAGTCCCCACTGGGGAGGGTAGCAGAGCCATCGACAGCCCTGGGGCTGGGGTCCCTGCCGCCGGGGGGAGGCCCACCACGGCAGGCACAGATACAGGGAGCAGCCCCTGGGCCGTGAGCACCCAGGTCACAGGCAGCGCGGTACCAGCCACCATGTGGGCTGGGACCAGACTGGGGGCTGCAGGAAGGAAGGGCGGAAGCATGGTAGGACCCTGTGACAGCCCCTGGACACCACGCTGGCCAAGGACAGGGACCTGGCCAGGGCCCGGCACTGGGGTCCTGCTGGCCTTCGGGGCTGAGTTCCTGGCCCCTCTGGGGGTGGGGGCCGGGGCCTGCAAAAAGCCAGCGGGGCCTGGGCCAGCCCCTGTGGAGACGCTAAGTCCTGGGAGTGTCAGACTACAGACAGCTGGGGGTCCGTGGGGGACCCCGGGTGGGGCGACCAGCAGTTGGACTGGGAGCGTCCTGGGGCCCGACGTAGCCCTCCTGGCCCGGGCCTCCCGCAGCCTCTTCTCCTGAAGCAGCTCGGACACAGTCTTGGGTTTGGGCCGGGGGCCTGAGGGGGCTGGCCAGGGGGTTGGCGGCAGGGTGGGCATGCGCTGGCGCACTCCCAGCCCCCCACTCCTTTTGCGGCCAGCGCTCCGCCTTGTAGCTTCTCGAGTTGGTCTGGCTGAAGAGAGGCTGCCTGCAGGGAGATGAGACAACACAGTGCACCTGCTGGCCTGCACCAGGCCAGGTACCCGGCCCCTCCCAGGCAAGCATCCTGGGAGCAGGGCCCGTGCGCCTCAGTCCCGATGCTGTTCCTACCATCTGTGCACAGCCCATCCCGGGGCCGTCGACGCTGGGCAGTGATGTCCACACAGCCTGTCTACCTCTTGCTCTGAACCATGAGCACCCCCAGACGAGGGCTTGCATCACTGCTGCCCTCCCATCTCCACCCCTCCAGGTTCTCATCCCTGCTGTGGGACTCAAACCCTATCACCAGTAGCTGCCGCCCAACCCCCTTGACCTGAGACCATGTGGAAGGACTAAGACCCACAGGGCTGTACCTGGGCAGCGCTGGGCACTCAGGGGCGCCTGGAAAGAAGGGTGAGGTCAGTCACTGGCGTCCACCACCCAGGACCAGCTGCCCGGGGTGTGAAGTGGGCCGGGTAACATAGGCCATGGGAGCAGAGGGCTGTGGGCCACAGGCAGGGGCCACCCCAGTCACCCAGGATCCAGCTGTCACAGCTTCCTCTTCACTCCCTACAGTGGCACCTCACACCAGGTCATTTCGTGGGGAGAGGACAGTGGGGGTATGGGGGCAAGCCCTAACCCAGGCCTCAGACCAATGAGGCGGCCAGCTCGGCACAGCTCACAGGAGCTCACAGGCACAACAGTGGTTGACAGTGGGCTCTATCATTGGCACCAGGCCCCAGCCAGGGGACACTACAGAGGTACCATGCCATGGTGGCCTGGGACCACACCCTGCCAACAGCCTGGGAAATGCCCTCTGGGTAGACCCTTGCTCCCGGCTAGAAAAACGGCCATCACCCAGAGCCCTGCGCAAGGTTGAGGGCCAGGTCACCTGCAGGTGGTGCAGTGTGGTGGGTGGCTGGGCCCTCCTCTCACAGATGACCTCCATGCAGCCGTCAGTGTCGATCTGGAAAAGCTGAGGAGTGTGGCATGGAGAGCCATCCCCCGGCACCCCTGCCCAGACCATGATGCATGGAAACCCGTCTCCCCAACTCCAGCCCAGACTGTGACACACGAGTCCCATCCCTCCACAACCCTGCCCGGACCATGATGCATGGAGACCTGTCCTCCCACATTCCTGTCCACACCTTGATGCATAGAGACCCATCCCCCCACACCCCTGCCCACACCATGATGTATGGACACCTGTCCTCCCATCCCCCCAGACTGTGGCAGGAAACCTTACCCCCACCCCCCGCCACAGACCATGCAACGTGGCAACCTACCCCACCGTCCTCACTGCCTAGACATTGCCAAGGCCTCCTCTCGGGCTCGGCCCTGGCTGAGCCCTCAGGCAGCCTCCCACCCAAGGCACAGTCTACCTCTCACAGACCTAAGTCCTCAGGCGGTTGCCCGGGGTCTGGGGCCCACCAAGGTCTGCGGCCCACCAAGGTTTGCCATCTCCCCTTTGCCTCTCAGACCCTCAATCTGCTCCCCCTCTCGTCTGCCCAGACCCTGGGCCTCCCCTCTTGTCCACTTGAGCACCCATGGGTCTGCAGTCTCGCCTCTGCCCACGGTGACCAGAAACTAAACACCGGGTGTCAAAGGAACGAGTGTGTTGCGGTCTCGTCACCACCAAGCACCCCGACAGCGCTGAGCCCTGCCCGTGGCTCCTCACCTGGATCAGCAGGGTGAACACTGGCGTGCTCGCCAGCTGGACGCCCTGCAGCTGGCTCCAGACGCCGTCGGCTGGGGACGAGAGACAGGGACGGGTTCCAGCAGGACCTCTCCACTCGGGCAGGGCACTGGGCGGGACAGGCTGAAGGGACACTGGAGGGTCCCTCCCACCACCTCCTGGAACTCTGACCCAGCCACCCCACACGCTCAACCCAGGCAGAAAGACGAGGGCAGCAGAGGGGATAGCAGCCCTAAGCTCTTTCAGAGCTGGAATAGCGCCAACCTCCATCATGACAACGGAAGAGAAAGCTAGCTCAGCTTCTGGAAACACACAAGTGTTCCCTGTGTGTGCCCCTGCACATGTCCCACACGTGTGCACACACATGAACCCCTATGTATGTCCCACACGAGTGCCTGCACATTTACCTCTGCACACGTGGCCCGTACACACATCTGTGTGGCATACCCCCACACACAAGTCCCACACACACCCAGCAGGCACAACCCCATGTATGTACCATATGTGCCCTGCAGACAGGCCCCTGCACGCATGTGCCCACCCATGTGCTGGAATGTGACTATGCCAACACC